TTTTGAGACGGAGTCTTGCTCTGTCGCTCAGGCTGGAGTGCAGTGGTACGATCTCGGCTCACTGCAACCTCCGCCTCCCTGGTTCAAGTGATTCTCCTGCCTCAGCCTCCCAAGTAGCTGGAATTACAGGCACATGCCCACCACGCCAGCTAATTATTTATATTTCTAGTAGAGATAGGGTTACACTATGTTAGCCAGGATGGTCTCGATCTCCTGACCTCATGATCTGCCTGCCTCAGCCTCCCAAAGTGCTGGGATTACAGGTGTGAGCCACCACATCCAGCCTGGGACCTTTTGTGGAGTGTTTTGGATCTGGAACATCTGGCTTAGAGGCCTTCTGTTACAGGTATTAGGCCCCTCCCTGGCCCCTCTCCCAGGCAGCTGAGGCTGGAGATGCAGGAGACAGGATTGGTTCTTGAATTTTAAATTCTACATCTAGACACTAGAGGGCACCCTCCCACTCCATCCTAGGAAGGAAAAAGAGGAGAAACAGACCTAACAGTCCTGGAGTGGGCAAGTAAATCAGGCAGCCCTCTGCATCCCAGCAGAGACCACATCCTAGGTTCAAAAATGCAGGTGACGGGGGTGTTGGACTCTCTTGGTCCTCCATCCCTGAATGTCCTTGCACCCCCTTACTACCATAGGTGGGAAGTCCTTTTTTGGCTCTAGCCTCAAACCCCAAACGGCCTGGGCCTTAATTCCCAGGGAAGAGAGGAATTATTAGGGAAAACCAGATTGGGAGAGGGACTGAGCCAAGGATGGAGGAAGCCCATGTCTCAGGTAGGACTGAGTGTGAGGCACCCCATGGAGCGAGAAGACAGGGAGGCCCCTGTGGTGTCACTACAGTTTGCGTGTGTGAGACACTAAATTAGAAGGGGACGTCCCCCTATACTCAAGGAGGACCCACACCTAACCCACATGTCACAGGCACTTCAGCTTACCAGACTGCCTGATGACCTTCAGGACTTCAGCCTGGCTGTCCTCTTCTTCCTCCTCTTCTTCATCATCCTCCTCTTCCTCCTCGTCTTCCTCTCTTGGATAACCCAGCTCCCGAAGCTCCCCCAGCTCATCCTCCTCCTCTGAGGCCTGGTTCTCATTCAAATTGCTGATAGACTGTAGGTGAGACTCAGCAATGCGCTGCACAGCTGGCCCAGAGGGGACCCAGGAAGGCAAGGGTCAGCCAGACACAGCCCATGGATCTGGAGATAGTGTGTGGCCCAGCCCCCAGCCTCCTTCCCATAGGCCTGGGACAGAGAATACCCCCTCAGGGGCCCAAGTTCAAAGGCCAAAGGTTACAGGTCAGCCTGATGGGGGTCAGACCAGGGCAGAGGCAGCCAAGGGTAGATTTGATCATGTTTGGCTCTCAAGTTGTCCCAAGATGCTAGCCCCCAGGAGGCTGCCACCAGGCAGCTCCCCCACACCATAGGGCACCAGGCTGGGCAAGACCAGGCGGGCACAGCAGCAGCTTAACATTCCCTGGCTGGAGAGCTTGATTTGCCAAGTACCCAGTACTGGAGACAGTATCTCCCAGCTTCAAGCCCAGGCAAAAGGCACAGGGCGTATGGACCACGGCCTGGGGATTTGCCACTTTCCATTTCTTGGGGGTGCCCAGCCTGCTGAGGGCTCACTGCTTACCCTGATCCTATCTCCCATGCGGTGCATAGTCCCCACTGCCTGGCACTGCCCAGTCATAGATGCCAATCCACATACTCCTGCCCCGAGCTCCAAGGGACAGAACAATTCTGAGGCTGAGGACATAATAGTCTGCAGCCAGTGCAGTCTGTGCCTGGGGATGCGGCGTGCTCAGATGCGGCCCCCACAATCTTGACCCACATCCCCAGGTTCCCAGCTCCCTCTGCGGTGACCTAGAAAGCAACCCCCCAGCCTCCAAAGACCTGCTCAGATAGGGCTGGGAAGGGAACAGTGTGTGCAGCTGGAAAGAAGTTTCCAAAAGATGGAAAGGAGCAAGGGGTTAGAGAAAGGGGCCAGGACCAGGGGTTCTGGGGGATGGCAGAGTTTGAGGGGCCACTGAGGAGAGGCTGCAGAAGGTGGCGGGATCTTAGAGCATATGGGACACAAAGTTCACAGGCCACAGACAATTTGCTGAGGAAGGGCTGGGGGTGGGGGGATGGGGAGTTGCTGCAGCTTCTTCTTGGTCCGCCAGTGGCCCCTCCCCTCAGAAGGCCCAGGGGGGTAGCGCCAGGCTGGAAACCTCTGGCACAGTGAGCAGGGTGCCATGCTCCTGCCAACTCGGGGACAGGCACAGAGGGTGCTTTGTATGTGCCCGCTGCCCCACCCAGCCCCCAGCTCCCAGCCCAGTACCTCCTACTGGCTCTGGGCAAGCTATCCAGGCAATAAAAGCACAATA